GGAGGGTGACACACGGGGTAGGAACATACACCCATAGTTTCAGCCTCCCGGCTTTCCTGGTTGCTGAGATGAAGGTGGGTGACAAAATGCACTCGCTTTTGAACATACACACGGACAGCGTCTCGACAATATGCGTCTTTGCTGGCTGCAGCAGCGCTATAGCGCTGCACAGCAAAAACGCATAAAAATGAAAAATGAATTGGGATGTTTCGGTTAATTAAGTCGCATACATCTCCATTCATTGCTGCAACTGGACCTCGTCAGTGTGACGGTTGCAACAGAAGTATTAGTAACATGCAGTGTGGTAAATTAAATAGAAAATGAAAAAATTTTGAGGTCAAAAGTTTTTTTAAAAGCTACCTCCACCATTATGCCTATTGATGCGATAATAAGAATACCTATAAATAAAAATCGGATTTAACAGTGGTAAAAAATTTAAAATCTAAGCGAGCGATCACGTTAAACTATATTATTAATAAAAGCAAAGAATACTAGATGAAGAAAAGAAGATTAAGAGGGGAAGATACGCAGTGTTTTGCCCTCTCAGCGTGTTTCATATACACCAAGGACGTCGAATAGTGTTGTATCGATTTCGTGGAATAGATGGCGTGAGTTCATCCCCTAGAGGCTACCTACCACTGTAGATGTAAATCGAAAGGTTCGGCTGTTTCATGACGATGTCTGTTCATAATCTAGGATTATTAGCGGCCCCTCCCTTTTCGGTTGTCGATCCGGCGCTGTGGAGTGCATTTAAGAATGCGCAGAGTACTGAAGCTAGTTTTTATTATACGTTTTGTGCTGTGCAACAGCTGCGCAAAATGCATGTTTTCACGGGGTTGTCTGTGTATATGTGTTTGTATGTGCCCGCAGCAGCTTGTAGGCAACTTTCAGCTCTGGAACCAGAAGAGCTAGGAAGAGTGTTCCCCCCACTTACGTATGACATCGCAAGTTTAAATTCAGCCTTCCCATGCCTACGGGTAACAGCACGGCCTCGTAAAAGTTTTGGCGACAAATTGTAATCTCGGGAATCATGGGATCTAGAACGCTGAAATTTTATGGGTATGTCCCTTGCCCACGTGCAATCCAGGAAATTTAAATTCAGCCTTCCCGTGCCTGCGTTTAACGGCATGACCTCGTAAAGCTTTTGGCAGATAAATTATTATCTCGGGAAACACGGAATCTAGGATGCTGAATTTTAGG